GGCAGTCCGGTGGAAATCCAGTATTCATTATTTTCAGTGAGCTACTCAAACGTATCCTCAAAAACTTTATCAATCAACCAAATAGTGCAAGGCTTACCACCTCTAATAACGAGATTAGATGCGGTTAACAAAAGTCAATAAAGACGGCAATAAACTCAATGCTGCAGGAAGGTTTCGAGATCCAAACCGAAATGATGATTGAATTTCATTGCGTGTCGCTAAACGGTAGTTAAAATCCCGTCGTAAAGGAACAGCTTGCATCATGCTTCGAAACTAAACGCTGACTATAAACTATGGAAGAAAATAATCAAGTATTTTTCTCTGAAGAAAGACCGTGAGATGTTCACTGAAGCGAATACTGAATTATCATGCTATCAAGCTGTTTTTTACATAGTGTTACGCAAAAATAATTTTTTATCGTCAAAACCAGTAACGAAATTATGCTGCATGAACAACCTTGTATCTGAACAACCAACGTTTCGATAAACAGTCAGGCTTTCAAAAGCGTCAAACAAAAACAAACTCAATACAACACGACGTTCGTCGAATTCATTCGAACTGATTAATGATTCCGTTCCTATCACGAATCTTGAAAGTCCGAATAATGTTTCTGTTTTATATATCATTAACATCAATTATATAGAGCATTATCAAGCAATGAACTTTCATGGTGCTGACTTTTCAGGAGATATACTGTTATTACTAAAGTGGTGACAACGATGCTGGAGGCGATGACTGCGACCAAAATGGTAACAACATAAGTTATGGCAAGGATTATAACGGCGATGATGTGCATAATCCAAGATATCGATTAGTACTAACCATGAAGATGCTGTTCATCATCATGTTCTTCAAAAAACGACAGTCAAAGTAACTACAGTCAGCAAGGGCATTGATTAAACCTATAAAAAAATACACACAGAAGCTACTGCCATTTTTCCAATTACTATCGACACGACCATTCTACTTTCCAACAACGTCTCTGTTAATTTCCATCACCGTCAAAACGATCGTCATATATTATCACAATCGTCTCCTTATCAGCATCGCCATCATCTCTATCGATATCACCATCATTATTGTCCTCACCTCATTAACATGTACACTGGATTGCCAAAATTAGAACTTTGCGCCAACGAACCGCCCGTCGTTATCTGCTAACTCTATCAAGCTGTCGTCAGTGGTCTGCTTCTGGATCTGCAGAAGGAAAGAAGAGACGAAGCTGCATGACGAATGTTCAGCCGCTAGGCGTATACTGTCATTACTGCTGTTCTTACAGTCTCTGCTTCATCAGCATCATAAT